ACAATCTAAAAACTGCGCGGGTTCATTTTTTTTTTTTAATTTTTAAGCAAAGCAGAAGGGTGGGGTGTAGTCACGGTGTTGCCCCGTTACAGTCTCTTGTCATGTCCAGGGGGAAAATTTCTAGGGCCGCAGGCCCTCCGCCGAATAACGCTTTAGTTTACTTAAATATGCAAAGTAATTTACCGGTCACATTATATATTTGATTATGCACTTCAGTAAATCGCGAGACTGAAATGGTCGGGCCGAAGGCCCGACCATCGCCGCTGGCAGGCCAAGCAGGCCAAGCCCCTGCCGAACGGAGTTGCCGGCGAAGCGAAGTGGAGCTGGCAACTCCGTTTGGCGGAAGGGCGGGCCTGCTTGTTGAAATATGCTATAACGGAATGTCCGTTGCCAGTCCCGTAGTATTAGATGATTTTTTACAGTGTGGTGTCCGGTGGAGTAACTAATCAAACTGAAACCTCGCCGAACAAAATTAGTGACTTTTGGGGCCGAAGGCCTATTTACGATTCTGCCCTTTGCCCGACTCAGGTGTCAGCGCCGCGGGCCTAGCTACATGTGCGCCAGGCGCGTCGCAGCGTAACAGTGTTTCGTGAGATATCGCGAAGCCTGTTACGCGAGACGTGGTCTGGCGTACATATAGCTAGTCCAAGTTGAGATCTACGGTCGAAAATTTTGTCCGATTTGCCGTAGCTCAAACCGTTGGGGCGCCAGAGGGTACTTTTTTGACGATATAAGCGAAAAAAATGTAAAACCCTGCGTGCTTAGTCGAGGTGATGGGCCATTGACGGGCCGTAGGCCCGTACCTTTGTGTACATTTTCCCACTTCAGTAGGCGCTTGCTATAGTTCCGCCTCGGGATCAGAATTGGAGTGGGTGAGTGGGGTCGCAAGAGGTGGAACTATGGCGAGCGGCTTCCCCCACTCCTCAACTGCGCGCTCTCTCACGCTGCTAGCGGCTTGGGGGAAGGTAGTGGGGAGGAGGAGAGGGGGCCGCTGCTCGCTCGGAGTGGGGGAACCAGGCCTGGTAGGGAGGGAGCACCGGCGGAACTATGCCGGGCGGAACTGTAGCGAGACCTCATTGTACCCGACTCAGGTGTCAGTCTGGCGTTCATCTACCTTGTAGTTATTTAGAAGGGCAAATCATTCGGGTGGTGTTACGCGAGACTACGCAGGCATAGTCAGACTGCGTGGTTGGCAAAGCCGGGCAGAGCTGATATTGCTGGGCAGTTTGGTTTTTAAGTGAAATAAAAGGCCAAGATCTATTCCAAAACAAGTAGGAGTTGACGCGTAAAAAGGAAAATCATTCGAAGACGAGTGGTAATGTATCGATCTTATTCTCCTGCACCCCGTCCAGCCTCGCCCGTAGACCTTCGACGCCATCGTAGTTCGTGCGACTGCCACAGCGCTGAGCGGCACTGCGCGTCAGGTGCGTCTTCGTCATAAGCACCACGGCAAGCAGAAGGCATTTCGAAAGAAGTGTGAAAACTGCAATGTAAGCAACGTTAGAGGAGGGAAGGCTGCTGTTACGAGTCGGTCGTCGTTTATGACGCAGGGGCAATGTTTAAAAAAACCCAGTCGTAACGATCAATGTCAGGATTAGCCGTAAACGTAAGTTATTCTGTCGTCTTCAAAGTGCATCTGAAGGTGAGCGGCGACGAATTTTTATTTAATTTTGAGGAAAACCAGACTCGAGCGCCAATTAAAGAGTGTTCCTGATTCTACTCAAAAATCCGTTTCAAATGGTATACTTGAGTGACTCGGGGCCGAAGAGCGAAGAGTCACTCAAGTATACAATTATCCTAGAACCATACAAACACTAAACAAATATACATGAACAGTGGAAGGTATCAGCAGCTTTTACTCTCGGCTAGGAAATATTAAAGAGAACGAATAGGCTTATATATTGCGCTGCCGCACGGCCGCGCCGAGCAGGCCGAGCCGAGCTTTGTATCACAAGTGCTTATTGATTTGCTTTAAAAATTGTTCTGCGAAAGAGTGTGGTTGTTTTCCAGTAGTGTTCTTCCGCCATTCTACTGCCATTAACGCATAGGATTTAAGCGTACTACCAATCAAGCGTATCTTGCTGAAACCTCGGGCTATTATCGCTGAAGAACTGGGAATACCACCGCCTAAAGCGAACAATATAGCGATCTTCCTTGACTAGCACCGGCTTGTCCATGTACTGCTTATGGTTCCAAACAGCGATGTCTCGCGCAAACTGAGAAAAACATAAACACAGAGAAAATTTACCAATTTGTCAGTATATTGGTGATTCTAGAGAAATATTGACATTTTAATGATAGATTCTGCATCTGCCCTCAAGTGTCACTGAGTCCTCTTCGTTAACTATCAATGTGTGGCATGGCTTGTCATTTTAAAAAATTGACATCGTATTTCTCAATCGAAGAAAGTAGACATGCCTTCTTTCTTTTCCACCCAGAAAACGCCATTCATGGTTTCAGAATAGTTGGCTGAGCGATTAGCAAAGGCCATTACTCCACTGGCCGAAAAAGTTTCATTCTGTTTGTTTGTTTGTCTGTCTGTAAGCACAATAACTCGAGAAAGAATTCTAGGAATTCTATGGTTATTTTGTATCATTAAAAGACGGACCGAATTCAAAGATAAGCTTTCTAGCTCAAAA